ATATTGCATAGGTTAGAATATATTTACAATACCGCACAGATGCGATATTGCATAGGTTAGAATATATCTACAATACTGTACAGATGCGATATTGCATAGGTTAGAATATATCTACAATACTGCACAGATGCGATATTGCATAGGTTAGAATATATTTACAATACCGCACAGATGCGATATTGCATAGGTTAGAATATATCTACAATACTGTACAGATGCGATATTGCATAGGTTAGAATATATTTACAATACCGCACAGATGCGATATTGCATAGGTTAGATAAGCTTTTCTATTACATTTCAAAATAACAATAGTTTGTTTTTAAACCAATATTGGCATTGTCACAAACAAACATTTAATTTTAATTATATAGATTCCCGAATAAATCGCCAATCGGAGTGGTATATCGATAAATCTGAAGAAATGACTTATTGCTACTATATGATATACATCGAGTTTCAGTTATGTATCATCCATCGCTGAGCTTTAGAATTTCCTTTTCAAATTTTCAACTTTTATTATACTTAGTAAGTAAACCCAAATTTGACACCACAATTGTGCTTAGCCTCGCAATCCATGAGCCCGTGAAAGTTTTCCTGTACTTTGTCACGCGGGTCAAACCATTAATGAACCATCACACCATGCATTGTCAGAACTCCGTCGCGCATATTGCGTTTCTAGCTCCCGCTATTCACCACACAGTAGAATCCAAACTTCCAATCACGCGTATAACGCCATGACGCCCTATTGTCAAGGGTGATTGCCCAGAAGATACATGTATATCAATCTCACTCAACATCTCACTAACATACATTCTCTAGTGAAATGAAGTATGGGAGATGTCACAAACAATACTTAAGTTTATCCCATATATTTCTCCGTAAGTTAAAATTATGTACGGTGTACTATTAATTATAAAACATCCAAGCAATTATTTCCCGATCACAACTGTTTTGTGAATGTTGATTAGAAAACCATGCCGTCTCCCTCGAATGCATGTAACTAAGATTAGCCAATGTCGCACCCTTTGTATAGTAACAGACGATTTAGCTATACTCGATCGGATAGTCGGTCACGGTTACTGTTTAGTAATCGTGTTGTCGGTATACTTCCGAAAGGACACGTGTACTTCAGGCAAGTCAATGACACAATTAATATGTTCCTATCTTACAGGTCGAACGTCTAGCTGCCAGGTTTGGTGCATACGCGTTTTTCGAATGTTCAGCAAAATATGGACGTAACGTGAGGCAGGTATTCGAAGCTTCAACGAAAGCGTGGCTTGACACAAGAGAAGACTTATATGCATATTTTACCGAGGGATTGTACTGCTAAGGAATGAATGATTGAAGTCATTGTCATTCATTGTGTCTGTACTGTACTGCTAGAAAATGAATGCTTGAAGTCAATGTCATTCAATATCACGTCTTACAGCAAACATTATGTCTCGCGTATAAAATGCTGGCATTTAGAGTGATGCCTTGTAATGCGTCCAGTCTCGTGTTGGCGTGAAAGACTCGTTACATGCAATGTGTCTACAGATGGTTCAATTTAGCCTTTTTTGTGCCAGTCACTCATATATGGTCATCACTAAACGCGATTTGCGAATTACGATTTTAGACTAAATTGCTATCCTATATAGGAATGCAATATAATATCAATTTAAATCTCTTATAGAAATGGCATTTAATTAAACTATATCTATTTAAAATACCATAAATTTAATAAAATTCATCGTCAACTTAAGTTAAATTTAATTGGTATTAGCATTAGGTATATCAGTCTAGACCTTAATGACACGTATTTCTTTAAATTGCCTTCAATACATTTTCGGTTTAGTGTTTTATAGAAAACCAAGTTTTGACTTCACTTATGAGAAGATGCGAAATCGCTGTTTAGTGGTGGCCGTTGTATAGTACACTATTTTGAAATTAGTTGTCTAAATGGATGATGTATTGATGTATTTTGGGTGTGTGCGTTTCAGGTATGATTCTTTGTTACCTTACCCCATCTCTCCTAAGACAATAATTAGCTTCACGGTTAGCATATGCAAATTTAGTAATTGGTACATTTCAAAATAATACACAGTGGATTGCAGGCTGCCATTTAAAAATAGCTTTAACAACATATATACGTAATAAATTATTCCGTTCACTGACTCCAGTAAAATATATATGTTTGTATTTTGAATTTGTCTATTAGATTTAACAATGATTGATTTTTGCCCATTGGGAAATGAAAGAAATGAGACACAGTCACTTGAGAGCTAAAATTCCAAATAAATCGATCAGTTTTATTTATTATACATTTTTACCGATTTTTCACTGCTACTTCTGCTTGTGGCGATGAAATATTGAGAAAATATTAATAATAAATAGCACTGATCGATTTATCTGGCTGTGTAATACGGGCTAGGTGCCTAGCGATTCTGTCAAATAAATTAATAACCAGCAGGCATGTCAAGTATGCATACTTTTGTTACAAATGCAAAGTACTTATCCTTACAATGATCTTATTTGGCAACAATGAAGTGTCCTTCTTTGTTTGTCCGCAACTTTTGAGATATCTGGTAGTGGGGAATATTTCTTTCAAAAAAAAACTGTAATGGATACACATTTTGTAAAAAAAACCATTTCATTTCTCCACTCAACTCGTCTTAACAATTTCGAGCATAACTATTTTAGTTATCAAGCTATGGTGGAAAATCCTTTCATGTTCATGAAAAACAGGATCAGGTTTCCTGATTGGCTCAGGTTGGCCCGTTAAACTAAAGCATAGAGTTTTTGAAAATGGACATACTACGGTACACACACTACATTATATTAGATGGACTAGGTCACTATGACGACTATGATAGTACAATGAAGTCTAACTACGAATTGAAAACTCATTAGTAGATAGTTTGTAAATCAAGATAATGATAGACAGATCATTAATCTATGATTAACCTTAGGATTTTTTTTGTACAATTATCCACATTTCATCTGTAATGCATTTCCTGATAATGTGCACCTGAATATTAGTATGTTAAACAGAATACCTTGTATATTTGAAATACAGCATTAATTACAATTTATTTGTAGGGCTCTCTTATCCATGGCATTTCCATGGCAGCTCTATATTATCAGTGAAAATGCTTCTACTGGTTTTATTGTACTCTACACAAAACAGTTGTGTAGCTATTTGTATGGTTAATATTCTTCTAACATTGAGCCCTAAATTGCGACTTGTATATATCTTTGGCATATTTCCCAATGATTTGTGACTCATTGTTAATCAAAATGAACAATGTCATGACAGTCATAATTACCCACTTTTCCTCACTATCAATCAGATAAAGCTATGAAGCGTTAAATGGGATATTTAATGTTTATTTGATTTCTAACACCATGTTGCCAAACTTCTGAAAATGTGGGAAAATCTCTGTAGAACTAGTTTATTGAAACATGTTTAATGATGTCCTATTTTTCATACACAATTATTCCTTACATGTAAATATTCTTTTTATGTACATAATGTTTATTTCTTCAACATATAATGATGATCAATGTGTTCACACAATACTGTACATAATTGTACGTGGTTCACAATTTTGTAATTGTATATTTAGTCAATACCCAACATTACTGTCTGATTACAGTCTGACAACAAACCAGAAATGTAAACATATTGGTGTCAGAATAAACTGTGTTACAGCTATGTTTAAAACAGCTCATTTTTGATTGGTCCGCAGAACACATAATTGAATTCTTTTGTTTCGAGTGAAATATCTGTGAATGACGATTGTTGTTATGACTGAATCAGGGTGTGTGGGTGTGTGTGTATGGTACCAACATTGTGACGACTTCATTTTAACTTTACACCGACTTTGGACAGAACCTACAATGTGACAACCCTCACTATTTTCATAATTATTATATTAATATTTAATCAAATTTAAGTCAGTTTTGCATAGCTTAGGTTTAGTAAAGGGGGAAGATATGGTTCAATTTATATTAATATAATTGTACCATACCTTCCCACATTACTAAACCTAAGCTTCGCAAACATTTCTATGTTAAGTCACAGGATATTCAACTTTTATTTAATTAAACTTAATTAAAACACAATTCTATGTTGAATTGCATTGTAATTGAGTTTAATCAAACTCAAATTAAAACGCAACCCTACACTTTTTAATCAAATTCTTATTGCAACCATATTAAAAGTTTGCTGTTACAACAACGGTAAGACGTGTGTGTGGGTGTGGGGAATTCATTGTTGATTGATTTAATGTTGCATTAACTGTATTGCATAGGACAAAACTGTAAATCTTTTTACAGTTAGGAAGTGATTATTTTAACCAAATTAATCCTTCATCAGCACTTTTCAGAGAAATCTTTACTTGATAATTCCCATACTAGATGCCTGCAATGAATTGTATTTATGACTTCACTTATATGATATGTCTGAAGCTTTGATGACATCACAATAGTTGTGATAAGAAGAAAGACAAACTATGCAAGTGTGGGTAGCAGTTACCAGACTTTTCACACAACTGTAATTGAGTGGATCATCTAAAATAAGCAAGGAACTGTGTAACAATAAAATAGAAAACACAATAGGTTATATTTAAATTACCGGTATTATATTTAATTTAAATTAATGCAATGTTTATAAAAAATAAGACATTAAACATGTTCTAGGCATAGAGAAACATATAATATAAATTCTCAACATTAAAGACAATTCTCTCTTTTGCTAGCAATGAAATTTTGTTTTGTCTTGGTAGCTGATTGGCAAGACAAATGGCAATATATATCACAATAAATTACTGTACTATATGACAGTGGAAAGATACAAGGCTTGTCGGATGAGATAGCAATGCACATTTCAATTAAAGAACTGAAGATATCATTAGAAAATGAATAATATCTATAGTATCAAAGCAACCAGAATTGCTGTTTTCAATAAGAATTCAAAACTATCACTTTTCACCAAAAATGACAAAAATAATCATCAAAATTGAATTATTGAAGATATTACAACGAAATTAACAAATCTGAAAGAGGTTCACATGTAGTACCTATATATTAAATATAAAAGTAATCAGACTCGCGTTTTTTAAAATGAAGTTGAAAATATCACTTTTTACCAAAAATTACAAAAATATTCACTAAAATTAGAGAATTAAAGATACCATCACGAAATGAACAAATGTAAGAGAAGTCCACATGTAGTACCTATATATGTAATATCAAAGCAATTGGACTTGCGGTTTTCAACAAGACGGCGAAAATATCACTTTTTACCAAAAATTACAAAAATATTCACCAAAATTAAAGAATTAAAGATATCATCATAAAATGAACAAATCTTAGAGAGGTCTATGCGAGGTACTTATATACCAAGTATCGAAGCATTTAGGCTTGTAGTTTTAAAGTAGAAGTCGAAAAAGTAAAAAGTTGACACGAACGACTGCAACGGCAACATACGCCGAAGGTCAATTGTTCATATGTTAAGTTCTGATAGACAAAGTCAACAGCAGAGCTAACAAGAATACATACTATTAGTATAGGCGATTTCCTCAATTTCCAAAATGACTGAAAGACATCAGACATTTTCATTAAACAAATGAATATCAAACTAACAATGTGTAACCCTGTTAAATACTTACACTGCTTAAAATCAACTACTGTCAATAAATCAACAAAACAGTCAATTTAGTTAAAAATTCTCTTTGTTGTAGTGAAACTTTGCACTTTCTGTCTTGATAGAGGAATACTGATTGCACTTTTTATGCAGCACTGTGGATAAGGATTTAGGTCCACAGAAAAAGACACCAATATTAACACTGAAAAAAAAGAAAACAGTATTAATATCAAATGCTCTAAATATGATTTTTTAAATAAATAGCTTCATATTTCTATATTGGTCATTCAAATAATATGATCTATCAAATTCAGAAGGTAAGTAAGAATACATGCTTGAGGACATTTTTTTTTTCCAAGTGAAGTCTGGAAAAGGGTTGATGACATGTCAAAATGTTGTTTGTCAACAATATGTGCATAAAATGATGTATATTTTAGAACCTATTGTGAATAAAATTGACCATGTCTTGTAAATACTGACTCCAAACCACCTGTTTTCCTCAACATACTGACTTCCAACCACCTGTGTTCCTCAACATACAGACTCCTAACCACGTGTGGT